TGAGGGGCCAAAAATGTGGTAGAGCTCCTCAGAGGGCAGGCAGCTTATGCTTGAGACATACCGCTGGGGCTTCCTGTGGCTGCTCCAGGGCTGGGTCCTTCCCACCTTGAAATCTCTGCTCTGCCTGTCACATCTAGGGAGCCCAGACCTTATTATCACCTGACCACGAGCATCTCACTATCCAAGTGAACCCCCAAACTTGGGTTGGAGATCCTCCTTGTCTCCATGGTGTGGTCGTCCCTGCCAACCTCGCCTAAGGGCACGGCCTATTCTGGACATGCTCCAGTCCTGAAATGTGCAAAGTCAGACATGTGGTTTCAAGTCTCAAGTCCCTCCCGCCATGGCATGCTGTGGGCCCCTCCACTGCACAGAGGGACAGGCTCAAGCACCACCCCTGCGGGCACAGTGGATGTGGGCAGAGGTGCCCATCCACCCCAGCTCATGCGGACCTCCCTGGAGCACTGGCACGCACCACACAGTCCGGCTTCTGGGGGAGGCTCCCAGGGCTGCCGACAGGCCTCTTCCAGATGCCAGCAGCTCAGACGTCAATTGCTGTAACCGAGTCTGCTGACCAAAGTCACGCTGCCCCACCAAGGAGCAATTAGAGCAGAGCCACCCTGGGTGTGGTCAGCTGGCCCAGAGGGTGCAGGCACCAGTGAGCCCTGAGGGCTTCCAGGCTCCCCTCCAGGGCACAGTGTCCCCTACTGCAGAGAGGAGAGTGAGCGGAGGTAGGTGTGGGCGAGGTCATGTATCTGAGGACAAGGGAAGTGGGTCATGGACACGCTGCGTGGGGGGTCCCTGTGGGCATGGAACTAGGTGTCTATATATGTGTGCATGACACAGGATTATTGTGACAGACAGGGCAGTCGAGGCCAGGTACTCATGTTCACACATTATTTAACCTTCAAGAATCTTATGAAGTGTGTCATCATCACCCCCACTTTACAGATGAGAAAACTGATGCGCAGCCAGATTTACGGAAGGGGGAGCAGGACTTCAAACCCAGAGGCAGCCCAGGGCCCACATTCCTAACCGCCGTGGGAGTGGGAGCGGCCCTGAGAACCCGCGTTCCTGAGGCCGGACGCTCTGGAGGAGGGCTGTGCACCTGACTGTCGATGTGCACAGGTGAGGGTCTTCTGGGGGACGGAGTAATAACTAGGGTGCTGCAGTCAAAAAACTCAAGCTCAGGCCTGGCCTTGCTATTTCCTGGCTGTGTGATCTTGGGCAAGTTACCAAACCTCTCTGAGTCTCGGTCTCCATTCCCTGATGAGGGAATAATCAACTCCCTGTTGTCAAAGTGAGGTAAAAGTCTCTTGACTTGGGGCCTAATAGAGACCTGAAGCTCAAAAGCTTGAGTTGTTAGCAGCCAGATAGTGGTGTTTGGCCTTCTTCTAGACTGGCATTCTCTCCATGGGGAGCCAGGAGGGGCTGTCCCTGAGAGTATGAGCTCAGTGTGGCTTGATGAACTGACCCAGAGATGGGTGTGTGTGTGTGTGTGTGCACACAGGGGTGCTCATAAACTCACTCAGGTCTGTGAAGTTTTGTGGTTGCTTCCAGGGCTTCCAGGATGTAAGGTGCATTCTTTCGCAACACTGCTCTCTCCTCAGCTGATAGAATGCAAGCTAGAGGCAGGGAAGTGGGCCCCTAGGGGCATGTTGCTGGGGTTTCCCCCCTTGCCCTCATGCTTCAAGGCCATCCTCAGTCTGGCCCCCTGTGGTGGCTCACAAAGTTCCCCAGGATCGAGGACTTGGCAGTCTCCTTTCTCCTGCCTCCGCCTGGAAGCCCATTCTATCGGGACTGGCCCCAAATCCCAGTGTCCAAAGCATCAACCCCACAACTCACAGCTGCTTATGCACTCAGAATTACCAGCACCGTGTGTACTTTGGGCTGTACCAAGAGCCTGGTGGATGAGGAAACTGAGGCAAGTGCCTACATGCTGGAGCCAAAGATCTGAGGGGATCCCTTCTCTGCCATGTCTGTGCTTTATGGCTTCAGGAGAGTGACTTAACCATTCTGAGCCTCGACTTTTGGGCCTGTAACATGAAAAAACACCACCCGCCTGGCAGGTCAGCGTGAGGAAGGATGAGCACAGGGCTGGCACACAGAGGAGACCCACCCAGCAGGTCCCGAGTCTCAGGGAAGGGAGGGCACAGTCACTGCACGTGGTATTGGGGGCCAGCACTATGGGCGCCCAGGGACGGGCCCGGGCCACCTCTTGCCTTCCCCTTCCACTCTCCCAGCCTCTGTTCCTGGGAAGTCCAGCAAGCTTTGTCTAAAGGACGTGCTGTTGGACTGACCACGCGCCCCAGATGGGGACAGCTGTTCCCACACTGGCTGCCAGACCAGCTCTTCCTGCCCAGTTGACCCTGGTTTCCTTGGGGAAGAGCAATGAGGAGCTTGGTGGAGCAGCAGATGGGGGAGACCCCTTAGCCCACTCTTGCACCCCAGCCCAGCCGTCAGCTCTGGTGAGGCCAGGTCATGTCTCGTAAGTTCCCGGCATGCCCCCCTGACGCTGAGATCTCCCCTTCAGGGGGAGGGGTGGGGCTAGTTTCCTTTGCACAGGAACCTCCTAAATGTTGTGGAGGAACCCCAAGGAGTCCTTGGCATGCTAGAGAGGCCTTTACTATGGGGTCTCTAGGTCTCGTGTTTGGGGCTTAGCCCCCAGATTGGAGAACTCAAATGGAAGGCTCTCAAACTGGCCAGCTCCCTGAGAGCTGCCTCATCCCTCTCCTCGGCCGGGGCGATGCCCTCAGTACCATTCATCCAGCTGGTCCCCAGGAGGCAATGGCCCAGAAGGATCAGCCTGTCACTCATCACAGCAGACAGCCCTGCGCAGGGGCCTCACTGACAACCTATTTCACAAAATTCTGGGGCCACAGGAGGGGAAGGCAGCACCTTCAGATCAGGGCAGGGACACAACACCCGCAGTGGGGAAATGGGGAGCCCCCAGCCCCCAGAGGGAAAAGCTTAGGCCCAGAAGCCAGACCCATCTCTTCCTGGCAGAGCATAAGCATTAGCTGTTTGGCTCATTACAAAACCCTCTCAAAGGGGTCTTGACTGGGGCTTCCCAATGCTGCCCTGGGAGGGGGATTAGGCGAGGAGGGGGTGCACAAGAATGAGGAAAGCAGGGCACTTTAACCTCTCTAGGAAGGGCTGGGCCTAGCCCAGGGCAGCAGGAAGTAACGGGCACTCCC